AAGCTCTAATTCTAATCATCATTTATGGATTAGATTTTGTAAGCATTCTATGAGCTAAAGATTCTACCCTTTTTCATTTCAAAGAGGATACAATCCACTGGCAGCGTCCTGGGAAAGTTCAAGCAGCTGAGACACTTTATTACCAACCCCGGGCTCCTTCTGCGGAAGTGGAGATGACATCTTACGTGCTCCTTGCCTATCTTACTGTCCAGCCTGCCCCATCTTCAGGGGACCTCTCCAAGGCATCACGCATTGTGAAGTGGATTACCAAGCAGCAAAACCCCCATGGTGGTTTCTCCTCCACTCAGGTCTGTGGAGAGGCTCTAGGAGGAAAAATAAATGTATTAATATGTATGGATTAACTAGTACATTAATGAATGAATGAATAATTCGATGGTTTGCATTTCTAATTCACACCCTCTCCATCCCTCTGTCATCTGCCCTATCATTTTCTGTGTAGACTACTGTTATGTCTTTTATACACTCTCATATCTTCTGTCCTTAAGCGGACCCCCCCAACAGTAGATCAATTTCCCAAAGCAATGTTTTCATGAAATTACTTCCCTTTGAAAGGAAATCTTGTTTTTACCCGAAGCCTGAAATTATTGGATATCTAACCCCAAATATATCCTCTACCCAGTAAATTTGAATGCACCAATCTAATTTGGTAAAGACCTTTGAAGTTTCTGGAGTTGGCTCACTGTCATTTTCGTGTCATCACATAGAACATTCCTCACCCTGGCACTTCTGGATGCCTCTCTACTGTCTTTATAAACCCTTCTCATTATTCAGAGACAATCTTCTCTTACTATTCTAGTCCACAGTTTCCTCTTCCTTCTCTGAAGTTTCATGACAAATATTGTTACATAATTTATAAGTAATTGAAGTAACCTCCCTTTGTGTCAAGTATTTAAGTCTTATTTCCACATGTATATTGTAAACTACCTGTACAAAGAAACTTTTTATTTCTTGCAAAAGTACCTAGAATAGTTCATCATTAATAACTAGATCTGAACTGAAATGAAATTGAGATAATGGACTATGCTTATGACTAAGAAATTCTGAAAGCAGATAGTGTCACTCATTATAATATACATCTCATGTGATTTCGCTGCCTTCCTCTCCTATGATTTCTGCATCTGTCTTTTGTTTTTTAGGATACAGTGGTCGCTCTCCAAGCCCTCTCCAAATATGGAGCAGCAACTTTCACTAAAAATGAGAAAGCAGCTTTGGTCACTGTCAAATCTTCAGATG